CTCATTGTCTTATTTAAACCAAGTCAATAATTGGACCCATTCATTGTATTAATTCATATTACTGGATTCAATCCTTTAAATATCATTTATTTACATAGCTCAATATTTTCAATCATGCCATAACTCAAACTATAGTAGGTTTTGACTTGGTCAAACGGCTATAGATGGTCAAACTCTAATGCATAGAGATTTATTTGCTCATACATAGTGTTTACTTCCTTAGACTCCTTGAAAATCATTCCAACAACAAATTTATACTTCATATACCATATACTTGCTCCTTTAACTATTTGATTAGTCAAATCAGATCAACCAAAATCTTCAATCTATCCTCATGGTCAACTCGGCTAACCCATCTTACCTAGCCAAATTCAGGCCTATTTTCTCAATGAAATTGATTTCAGAAGCTTCCTGGGATCCAATCCGACCCAGCGAAGCTCCTGGTGTGAACCTTAGCTCAACCCAATGGCCTTAGTGGTCCCCTCCATATGATAATGACCTAAGGTCATTTTCACCTGAGCCAGCCACCTCCTCTGCCGGGTTGGCCTTAGTGGTCCGCTCCATATGATAATGACCTAAGGTCGTTTTCCCCTGAGCCAGCCACCTCCTCTTCCTGCTAACCGTTTGGTTCTGCTGTCGAACATCCCAAGACTTCCCCTGATCAATCCCAGTTGTTCCTTTGGCTCCAACAATTCAAATAAGGTAAAGGGGATGAAAATCTTCATTGAGATAGACCCCCAAACTCATTCACTTCCCATGGCCATATCCTTTTACTTTTTGTTCTTCATCCTCAAGGCTTCTACCTCCTTCCCTTGGTGATTCCTTATCATTTGGATTACTGATGGCTAGGAGAGTAAAGGACTGAAGCAAACTTAATCCCAGACATTGCAAATCAAGTTCCAGTGGTTTTTCGAGTTCGAGGACTTTTATAACTTTGTAGAGGATCTCTAGAAAAAGCGAACCAACTCTCCCTCACTCTCTAAAACCACCTCTGTCAATGTAAAAGTCTAACCCTAGGCGATTATCTAGATTCCTAATTAAAATCCTAAATATTCCATCAAGAGCTTAGAAATCATTCCCCCACTCTTGCTTTAATCCTAAAATACATATGTCTAATTTTTCTTAGTCATTTAATCCATTATATAAGATGTATAGGGTATAAAATGAATCTATAGTTTGTGGTGGCTGTTTGTGGAAGAAGAAATCAGGATCATCCGTTCGTTCCATTTGTTACGGTTGATCATGATTTTGTTGTTCTAGCGGTCTTGTTCGTTCGCTCGTAACTGTGGATTAGCTAGACCTTTGTCCGGCTAGATCTTGGCCTTTCATTCAAACTGTGGGAGCTGGCTTGACCGCCCGATCCTTCTGAATTGAGATTAACCATGGGTCTTCTTTTTAATCAAGAGTATTCTTTATAGGGTCTTGCCCTTATAGAGAGTCTAAATCCGAGAATAAAATAGACCATACTGTAGTTTCCTTTTCTAAGATAGGGAAAAAATATGTGAATCCAGACTTTGTTTTATCCATGTTTTAAATTTAACCTCAAAGTCAAAAGATAGATGGATATTGAATTTGCTTTTACACATTACCCTCTATATTTAATTATCGAGATAAATTTATAATTTATCTTTTTAATTGAAACGATAGGAGAATATGCTTTTCATCCTTCGGGATGAATTGTATATTCCCTATGCCGCATCTAATTAGAAAAATATACTATAATTTTCTTTTATTTCAAATTGATAGAAAGGCATTAGTCTACCTTTTAGGGTGGTATAATGTCTAACTCTGCAGATTTAATTGAAAGAAAACATTAAAATATAAATAAATCAAATAGTGTGGGAATTGAAATAAATTTAAATTAAAAAAGTTCTCCCACCCATCTCCCTTTCTCATTGCAGGTCTTGATTGCCCTCCCTCTCTATCTCCCTCAATCCTTTATCTCCATATTTCTTCCAATTATCGCGATATATTACTATAGATAAAATACAACTTTAATGTAAATTTTATTGAAATTATAAATAAAGTCTCATTTTTATAAATAATATTATGTTTAATAAAGATATATGGAAGATACGCCCATGAGAAATTCTTAATAGGAAGGTCGTAGTGACATATTTCTCGCTAGGAACATCCTACGAGGATGATTACCAGGTAGGATCTGCACTCACAAACGACCCTGGAAGGCACGTTAATGATTCTATCTCAATGAAAAGGTAATAGTGAATAGTACCATCATTAGAAATATTTCATGAGAGTAAGTAATTGATAGGTTCTCCTTTCATCTAAAAATTTCTAAGACTAAATATGTCACACCCCAGTTTGACTCACCCTCTACCACGAACTGGAGTATAACAGAGAAATATTTTAACGTATCAAACTCCACACTTAACAACAAGAAGCATCTAATATACCTTATTGAACCTCAACATAATTAAAATAAATACAAAGCTCTACTAAAACTTTTAAAATTCATTCACATACCCAAAAGTCTTTACATCTAGCATTCAGATCTCTCTTTAGATCTCTTGCACCCCAAAACATACTTACAAAAGATCTCATAAAATAAATGTTTATTTGATTCTACACAAGAAAACTTGAAGTCCCATAAAATATAAATTTCTCCAATTTTCTAATTCTCTAATAATGTCAGAAGCCTAAAAGTATTATAACGTACAAATTTCTTCACTTATTTTAGAATCTCAGAAGGATCAAAATCCCATAAGATGTCATTTCTTTTGTTATTTTAAACATTTCAGAAGGTTAAAATGCTCATAAGATAGAGGCGTCTCCAATTCTAGAAAAAAAGTCACAAAATGCCAAAAGCTTTAAAATTTACATGTTTTTTTTTTTACTTTGGAAAGCACAAAAGATAAACATCCTCTAAAAAGCCTTAGGTGTAAGTTTCAAAGAATAAACATTCTATATTTATATCCATAATATTTACTAAACTTTTATTATAAGTTTTTCTAATTATTTAAAATTCTCATAAGACATAAGCCCGATAAACTTTTTAATCATCTAAAAATCTCATAAAGTATGAGCCTCAAAAAGCTCTTATCAACTAAGAAATCGAGGCCATTATATTTCAATTCAGTGCAATATCTTTTTGCCAACTCAAATATTTAATCACGATATATTAAATTTCTAGAATTATGTAAAGATCTTAAGTATGTTTCAAAGACATGTAAAAGGCTTAGGGGACGGCTTTTTTATTGCTTTTTGAAGCAACTTTTAGTACAAAGTTTTTAACTTTTATACTAGAAAGCTGCTTCAAGAAGGAGTAAGAAAGTCATCCCAAACGAAGCTTTACTCTCCACTCAAGCGCAAGTTCTCTTAAATTTGAATTACTCTTACACAAAGATGAAGAGTTCATTACTTCAAAATTTTTATTGTAAACATCATTCAAGCTCATATGTTAACACACGAACCACCATAAATACAAAGACTAATAAAGAAGAAATCTTATTTCAAAGCCACATACATAACTTTTGGATATATATGATGTCGACATACTCTACAATCACAAGGGATTTGTTGAAGTATTATGTAGCTTTAAAACTCCCACCAAAGGAAATAGTTCATTGAATTCATGAAGTAAATTCACCAATTTAGCAATAAGGAATGTTTCATATTTAAAACAACTAAAGTTCGTGAATTTTTATCCCATCAAACAATAATATTTTTACAGAAAAAAATGTTGGAATTAGCCAATGAGGTTAGGTTATCTATGTTCACAAAATTTCAAAATTTTTTATGAACATTTATCTGCAGAAATTTGTTGAAGATAATAACATAAATCATTATTCTATAAAAACATGAAAAATAAATATAAACAACACTATTATAAAGCAAATGCTTCAATTTTGCAGGCCAACTGTCCTTGCAAAATAATATAAATAGACTCACATTTTCAATATGAAAGGAATTTAAACTTGAAAATTAAGAGAGCCTATTGATCTCAAGAATTAATTGTAAATCTTTATCTGCCAACTATCGTTGTTGAGCTGTCATCGCTGAATTGCTATCACCCAACCACCTTTTCCCGACCAATGCTATTTGATCATATTTGTTCTACTATCCAATCATCTGACTGCCATCATTTGATTGTTGCTGTCGGACCATCATTGTCTAATCGTCGTAATCTAACAACTATTGCACGATTAAAATCATCTGATTGTTATCATCATTCATCCACTATTTCTCCCACAATATTTACTCAAAAAAATAGTTCTATGACAACTACGAAGAAGATGAGCTTATGTAATTTCATGTATATAGTTGATTATTTCATTTGGGGTTAAGCATTATAGTTTTTTCTTCTTGAAATTTTCATGTAATTAAGAGTCTTGCATTCTTGAAATTTTCATGTGAAAACTTTTTGCCACTCTTATATTTTTCTCTTTTATTTATGTATATACGGGAGCTTCAACTATAATTAAAACGAAAAACCCACCATTGTCATGAACTTTCTATTTTAAAATATTTAATTAAAATAGATAATATGTTTATTTTCTTCCACCCAAATATTTATTTAACCCAAAACGTTTTGTAACAGAAGTTAAAAAAAAGGATTGATGTTAAATTTTTATTTAAAAGATATAATTAAGGAGATTTGCATATATATCATAAAATTATTTATTTATTTATTTATATATTATCTAAATTTATATTTATTTAAATTATATTAAATTCTTAAAATAAATTAAAAATATCATTAATATTAATTTTGATAAGATTACATTTATTTATTCTGATTGTATTTTGACATAATTAAAATATTATATAAATAATATAAAAATTAATGAAAATCCTCCTATAATTAATTCAAGATGTGGTCCTATTTAAATATATATATAATTAATTAAAAAAATCATTAATATTTTAGCTAAAAACTAACATTTATTATTTTTGTCTGATAAAATTTAAAATAATATGATAATTTTATGAATAATAATAATATTATTATTTTTATTAACATACTTTTCGAACTCCAAAAATGTCATAACAAGCGAGGCAAAGGAAATCGTTCTCCGAGCCCTTGCGGTTTTGGGCTTTCCATTCCACTTCCCACGTCCTCTGAGTCTCCTCCGTCTATCTTTCTCTCTCTAAAGCTCACGATCTCTCTCCCGCGCCAGTAGACGGAGACGACCTATCCGGAGACGAACGCGCCGGTCTGCGGGCCGCTCCGCCAGCAATGACTATGATGACCCCGCCGCCGCTCGAGGTGCGACTTCCATCGAAACCCTTCACTCAAGTCATCCCCTCTCTTCCATCTTCTCGAATTTTCTATTACGCTCTATCGTTAATCACTTCAAGATCTCTTTTTACCCTTGATTTTTGGCACTTTTACGGTGCCCTTTCTCTGGCTTTGCTTCTCTATTAGGGTTACGAGGCACACTGCCTCTGCCGCCACGCTAATCTTTCTGAATTACCTCAGCTGCCACGCCGTCGCGTTATTTTTAGGGCTTTAATTTGCTCTCTTGTGTGCGTCTCTGTTGGATCTGAGCTTTGATTGTTACTTTGGTTTTTTGCAGCAGGAGGATGACGAGATGCTGGTTCCTCACCCGGAGTTCACCGAGGGCCCTCAGCCGATGGAAGGTGAGTTTTCCTTTCCGATTGAAGAGAATGATGCCGCTGACAGATCGGTGTTTATTGGATTTCCAGGTGTCATTGTTCTCTTCTTTCCAGAAAGATGCATCTTTTTGTATGGTATTTAGGGTTTTGATTCCTTTACTATCTGTCTTGCCTTCATCCAGTGGCTCAAGTTGAAGCTCCCACCATGGCGGAGAACCAGCCAGTGGAGGATCCTCCCACCTCCAGGTTCACGTGGACGATTGAAAATTTCTCGAGGCTGAACACTAAGAAGCTGTACTCGGAGATTTTCATTGTTGGAGGCTATAAGTGGTGAGATGATAACTAATCGTTGTTCTTTCCTTCTGTCTGAATGCATTTGGCAGTTGATTTGTTTTAATGTATGCATACTTTATGCTGCAACTAATGTTTTTCTATTGTTCTCTCATTGCATTGTAGGCGGATCTTGATCTTTCCCAAAGGTAACAACGTGGATCACTTGTCCATGTACCTTGATGTTGCTGATTCTGGCACTCTTCCCTATGGTTGGAGTAGAAATGCACAATTTAGCCTGGCTGTTTGCAATCAAATTCACAACAAGTTCACCATAAGAAAAGGTATTTTTATAGTTTCTATTTCTATTCATGGATTGTGATTGTTTAAAGAGCAAAATACTGATCAATGATCACTATTTCGGGGATGTTTCTCATTGTCTGAGGAATAACTAAGGAGCAAAATGTTCTCTGTTATTCTTGATTGCTAAGTAATTTTGGAGCTGTAAAAGATGGGCTCTAATTGGCTTTAAACTGTTGTGGCATTGTGAATGCACTGTCATTTTGCTTTTGTAAATTTAATGCTATTTTGTTGCTTTACAAATCTAAGCTGGCATTCATATTTGTTCTCAAGATACACTTTATGCAGATGGTTAACCCTCTCTGTGTTATCTTATACAGTGAATTATTTAAATATCAAAGCAGCAATACGACTTATGCTATATTTGTTTGGACAATCTTGGTTTTTTTAACGTTTCTTCTCCATGTTGTTTGCCACGGGTTTGTATGGTTCCTTCTATGCTAATGATGCTGTAGTTCCCCGTTTAGGGAACTCTGGATGAAATGAGAGTGATAGTCTTGATTGGGAAAAGTTTCTATGCATCTTATAATTGAAGAATACACAACTTTATAGAATTCCATTTATTATGGGTGTGTTACTATTGCAATTGTTTGTAGTAGAAAGTCATGTTTTGGTTTCCAATTAATGTCATGTTGTTGATATGGCATGACTTTCTGTTGTTCATACTTTGGAAAATGCCATTTTTTTAATTGTTTTGTATTTGAGACAAATGATAATTTGAAAGTGGTTGCATTTGCATCTGTCTGTCAATCCTTTCTAAACCACTGCCCTGCTGATGAAAAATTCACATTTTAGCTTTTTTTGCTAACATAGTATCTTGGCCATTCTTGAAGACACTCAACACCAATTTAATGCTCGGGAAAGTGATTGGGGTTTCACATCATTCATGCCTCTTGGAGATCTGTATGATCCGATTAAAGGATATCTTGTCAACGATACATGTGTCATTGAGGCTGAGGTTGCGGTCAGGAGGGTGGTTGATTATTGGAATTATGATTCAAAAAAAGAAACAGGTTATGTTGGTCTCAAGAATCAAGGTGCTACTTGCTATATGAACTCTCTCCTTCAAACTTTGTACCATATTCCTTATTTCAGGAAGGTATTGTATCTTTTAGTCCTTTGCCTTTCCTTCTACTGTCTTTGTTGTTTGAGAAGAATCACTCATGATTTGTACCCTCCAGGCTGTGTACCATATGCCAACTACTGAGATTGATATTCCTTCTGCAAGCATTCCCTTGGCACTGCAAAGCTTGTTTTATAAGCTTCAATATAGCGATAGTAGTGTTGCTACGAAAGAGCTGACTAAATCATTCGGATGGGACATGTATGATTCTTTTATGCAACACGATGTGCAAGAACTCAACCGAGTTCTTTGTGAGAAGTTGGAAGACAAAATGAAGGTTTTCCTGCATTTGAAAGTTTTAACTTTATTGGTGTAGCTGGTTTTTAAATATTTTGAATTTCTATTTGTGTGATAGGGAACTGTCGTGGAAGGAGCGATTCAGCAACTTTTTGAGGGACATCATATGAATTTTATTGAGTGCATAAATGTAGATTACAAGTCAAGTAGAAAGGAATCATTCTATGGTATTTATCTGTTATTTGAATCTTAAACCTTTTGAAGTTTTAAACTAAGGACCTTGTTTTCCTAACATGATCTATTAAATGTTATCCTTTCAGATCTTCAGCTAGATGTGAAAGGTTGCAAGGATGTGTATGCTTCTTTTGATAAGTATGTTGAAGTGGAGCGGCTTGAAGGAGATAACAAATACCATGCTGAACAATATGGTTTACAGGTTTGTTTGCATTTGCACAGCTTGATTTTCTGCTTGCTAGTTTTGAACAGTTTAGTTTAGCTATATTGAATTATTCCTGAATATGTCGTAACTTGCAGACGAGCTTGACTCCTCACCATTCCATTAGTTGGGAATGACTGAAGTTAAAAGCTATTCATGATACAATTAATCTTTTGAAGAGTATTTTAAAGTCGAGACCGAGTTCGTGGGAGAGGCTCACTACCATGCTATTTTGATGCATTTGATGCTGAGTTTTTGGACCCTTTTGGTCATAATTATGTCTTCAGTTATTCTTCCTCGTCTTATTTTGGAATGACATTAAAATTATGAAGTATGCTGCATTTCTGTAGCTACAAATTGTTTTAAATATTTTGGATGTTTTTCTATTTTGTTTTTGGGATTGGTTTGAATTTTTAGATGTTATTTTAATCATGTTTTGTGGTTCATTGGCTTTGGTTCTTTGTCATGTCTTCATTGGTTATCTATGTTGTGGAATATTCTCTTGAACTTCTAAGAATTCTCTGTTATTTGCATCTGGTCACCGTACTATGATTTATTTGTCCTACTCTTTTTTCATAACTTTTATGTGATGACTCGGAGTGGTGAGATTGGTCATGAATCTTTTGAGTGTTCATTTGTTGACTTGTTATCTGCCACCTGCTGTTACTTCCTTTGAATCCGATGTTTCATATTGTATTTTGTTCCCATTCATAGCCCGTGAGAAGCCAAGCATGACAAAATTTTCCTGATGACTTGTTATGATACTTTATTTATTTACTTCAGGATGCAAAGAAAGGTGCACTTTTTGTTGACTTCCCTCCTGTGTTGCAACTCCAACTAAAACGCTTTGAATATGACTACATGCGTGACACAATGGTGAAGGTAGGCTTTCAGTTTATATTTAGTTTATATTTATTATTAAAATTGCATGATTAGATCAGTTCATCAGATGCTTGAGATTGGAATCAAATATTGAAATTTCTTATTTTAATCTGATGAAACATGGAGTGCAGATAAATGACCGGTATGAGTTTCCTTTGCAACTAAACCTTGACAGAGATAATAGGAAGTATCTTTCTCCTGATGCTGACCATACTGTCCGCAACCTTTATACTCTCCATAGGTAATTCTTAATTTCCATTTTTATTTGACATAAAAGGCTTAGCATCATTGTGCTATTTTCTTCCCTTTATTTATTCCAGGATTTGAGTGATTTGTTATTTTGTTCTTCTCTGCCTTCAGTTATTATATGTCTCCATTTGTTTGCTGATTAGTTGTGCTGAGAGCACATGTATGATAATTTAGCCTTTGTTGGAAAGATCGAACTACATGTTTTTGAATTTCAAATAGATTGCTATCATGCATGAAACGTACTGGCTTGGCTTAGTAATCGTATAATATGCTAAACCTTCCTCTCTTATTTGAAGTTCAAACATTTGTTCGTTTCACTGACCCTAGCTATTACCTATATGCTTCTGGGTTCAGCAATCCTTGTATCTCATATTGTGTTACTTACACTTACTTTTTTGGTGTGCTTTTATTGTGATAGACATTTTATTTTTATCAGGAGCTTTCTTATGCAAGTTTAGTACCCATATTTTGGTGATAAACTGATAAATTTTTGTCCTTTGCCTCTAGCAATCACATTTGTTTTTATTCTTTTTGTTATAATCATCATATAGAAACCAAGATGAGGGGGTTTTTCTCATGATCTCATCTCATCCTGTGTTCTATAATCATAAGGTTTTAGGTGCACGTCTTATCTCGTGAGTTTGAAATGAATTATGCCACTATAGATCCCACAAGTGAAAGTCCAATAACTTATAAATTGAAATGAATTGCATGAGATCAGAACTATAATGCATGGAAACTTTCTGTAATTGGTAGCTGCTTTATACATGTGATGATTATAGTAAGCAGAATATCATAGTTTTCAAAGACTGAAGGTATTAGCTTGAAATAAAATTCTATGAATCTCCGTAGGCATTAATGGTGACCCATTAGATGACCACAAGGAGTTTGTGGGCTGACTGTTTTATGATGAAAAAATAGAGTGCAATATGCACACTTTCTCTTTATATTGAAACTTAATTGTAATGATGTTTTCCTCTTGAGATTTTCAATTTTTTTCTTAATAGTTCTATCATTTTCTACTTGTTAAGTTCTTGAATCAACATCCTTGATACATTTCTTTTCTTAAACAACTTGATGATGTGAATTTTTGAACTTTGCTTCTCTAAACATCCGTTATGGGATGTAGTTACCTCTAATTAGTTATTGTTTTTGGTTTTGTTTTAGATCAATAGCTACCGAACTACTGTAGTTCTGAAAGTTCCCTGTGTTGTCTCACACAATGATTCTCTTGCTATTATTTGTGGTTGCAGTGTTCTAGTACATAGTGGTGGTGTTCATGGTGGACATTACTATGCTTTCATCAGACCAACTCTGTCTGATCAGTGGTATGCAGCTGACATGCATTAAGCCTTTTTAAAATTTCTCTTTCTTAAATGTTCTATGTAATTTGTGCCAAAGTTGACACATCTCCTTTTTTATTGGGAAGACAGGTTGCTGCTTGCATGAAACAAATTTGTTGGTTTCTTTTTTCCTTTGCATGCAACAAAGTTGATATGATGAGTTTAAGGATTTTTTGTTAGATTTGTAGTTCTTGTTCTTGACCGTGATTATCATTTTTGTTGTGGACAAACTTGTTGACAATGGTTTCTTGGTAAAGTTTGTATAGAAACCACCAATTTCATTATGATAGGGAAATACGTAGGATTCAAAATTCTTATGGAAAATTTATTTATATCATTGAACGGCTTGGTATTGTTTATGTTGGTACCTATGATGCACCGACACGGACACATCGACACGGACACGACACGGACACGGGACACGGCATTTTTTAAAAATATAGGACACGGGTGCGGCGTGGACACGGCACAATAATTTTTTTAATATAGTATATAGAAATTAAGTGACATTATATTAAAAATGACAAGTAATAATAAATCAATTTCATGATAACTTGTTTAGCTTATAACATAAAGATATTTAGTACAAACTTTCTACTACAACCACAAAAATATAAGCAAAAAATTATTTAGTACAACATGAAGGTCCAACTACTCAATAGAGGGAATGATAGAATTAGATTCAGAGATTGATCTTTGGCCTTCAATATTATCATCACTGAATATCATTGCTTCCAACTCTGGTTCATCTAGAGAAAGATTTGCAACCTCCAATAATCTCATATCATCAAGGCACTCGAACCAATCTCCAGCAACATCCCACATCTTGTTATCACATGTCATATAAAGTGGGGTTTTCCTTGATATAAGACAAAGATTTGTATGCACATAAATTAAATCTTCAACTCATTGTGGAGTTATTTTTATTCCTCTTCATTGATTGAATAAATGAGTATGTGCTCCAATTTCTCTCACAACAAGAAGAGGATGATACTTGAAGTTCTGCTTGATTTTAAACTTCGTAAGTTATTTGTATGGAAAGATATCGAGCGGTACCGAGCATGTACCGAGCAGTACCAAGCATGTACTGAGCAGTATCGAGTATGTACCTAGCGGCACCGAGCTTGTACCTAGTAGTACCGAGCATATACTGAGCGGTACCGAGTATGTACCTAGCGATACCTAGCGGTACCGAGCATGTACATTAGCTTTTTTTTTGGGTAAGTTTCAAAAAACAACAATTAATATTTCAGGCTTCGAGAGTCAGGCGTCAATGCCATTTATCACTCACCGAGAAAGGAGATGAAAATAACTTCACTGCCAAAAAGAAATAAAAATGAGAATATTCGATGATTGGAAATTAAGTGCGGACGTTGATTTGGTGTTCTGGATAAGAAATAAGAAATTTAGTTTAAATCCCACAAAATACAAAAAATTATATTTAAAAAAAAATCATAAAATATTTAAGATACGCGTGTCCAATTTGCATTTAATATTTTTTAATCGGACACGTTTTTGGCGTGTCCGAGACGTGTTGGAGGAGTGTCGTGTCGGACACTGCACACCTCTTTGAGGAGAAGTGTCGGTGCATCGTAGGTTGGTACTATACAACATTTTTGGAGAATTAATTCTTTTTGCTAAATCTGTGTGCTGGCTGGGTTTTCCCTTTTATTTAACCATGTCTTCTTGGAGGCTTGGGCTCTAGTTTTCTTGGTTAGAGATTTTGAATTCTCTTTCTCTCAAATCGAAGAATCTTGTATGGTTGTTGTCTTTATTCACCTAGTAGTGGAATACAAGTGGTTGGCTTGATTTTCTTCAGATTTCTACTCAGTTTCGTTGCTGTTTTCCACTGTTTCGGGCTGTTTTCCTGCTGCAAACAGCAGTTTCGTTGCTGTTTGTTCACCAATTTGGGATAGGTTTGCTTGCGAACTCAAGAATTACCTTAGGGTTACTTGCGAACTTAAGTATTTCCTATAACATGCCAATTGGCCAATAGCTTGCATTTGGACGCTAGTATGGTGTTTGCATTGTTAATATTTGATTAAGCTTTTTTTTTAAAAAATTTTTTTGAGTCATCACGATTTTATTTTTACAGGTATAAGTTTGATGATGAGCGGGTAACTAAAGAAGATGTGAAAAGGGCTCTAGAGGAGCAGTATGGTGGGGAAGAAGAGGTGTTTGTTACATTGCCATCTAGGTGTCAGCTTTTCTTTCAAACTCACCTGATTATTTACTTTCTAACATCTTTCCTTTCTATGCTTCTTTGCCTTCTGCAGTTGCCACAGACAAATCCCGGATTTAATAATACTCCGTTCAAGTTTACAAAATATTCAAATGCATATATGCTTGTTTACATTCGTGAATCTGACAAGGATAAGATAATTTGCAATGTGGATGAGAAGGATATCGCAGAACACCTTAGAGTAAGAAATTTCCTGTAATTTTAAATTTATAATTAGTCAAATTTACAAGGAATTTATTTTGTTAATGAGTTTCCCTTGGTAAATATTTTGCGAAGGAAGGCCCTTTGGATGCCAAAGGCATGGTGCGGCTTGGTTTCTCCTGTTAGTTTTGAATGCTTCTGCCTTTTGGATGATTTTAGATGTTACCCTATACATGGGTGGCATCTCTAATGTTCCTTTTAGTGCATGTAGTTTAAGATTGGAACATTTGTCCACCTGATAGCATTAATCCTTGTAGCACCTTGGATGTCAGCATGGAAACTCTGTCTTTGAACACTCTTCCCAAAGAAAAAAAAAACTCCATCTTTTGACTTGGATTTTTAGAGAACATCACCAAGGGTTAAAAAATTGAAGTTTGTTGCTTTATAAATTTCTCATTGCATCCCATTTATGATGTAGACAAAGGGGGGGTCAACCCTAGTCCAAAATAAATCATATTTTGGCTTCCCTTGAGTCTAGTAGTTAACCTGCGGGTTGCTCGGAAATCCTGCGGGCTCTTTCCAACCTTCTTTTCTCATCCCCTCCGGAAATCCTGCGGGCTCTTTCCACCCTTTCTTCTCGGGCTTCTAATCTCTTCGTCTCTCCGCAAGTGCCACTCCACCTGTATCCTTCTTCTCAAAGTGCAGCAACTTTAGGGTGTGTCTGTCGTGTTGTTTGTAAGTCGTCGTTATAATTTCTTTTGTTTAATTTTATTTGAAATATAAGAGTTTGTTCTTTCCTTTTGTTGATTTTTTAGTCCCTTTTCTCGTCTTTAGTTATTTTCGTCCGTAGAAGTCCGTCGTGTCTTTTGTGGGCGAAGGGTATAGGCTCCCTATATCTTTTGCCCGCATCAATTTATGTGACAGATGGCATGCACTATCATATAATTAGTCAATTAGATTTTGCTGGATTAGTTCTGGGATATACATTTCCACTATAAATAAATGGAGATTTTGATCCTCATATATGAGCTTGATTTTGAAGCAAATTCAATAATTAAAATCCATAGAAAAGTATAACAAACCAACTCTTTGAGAATTCTTTATTTCTAGCCAACATGTTTTGATAAATTGTTTAGAATTACTTTTCTTATTTTATGGAATTTGAGCTTCTTTTACATTAAAATTATTTTAAAAAATATTGCTTGAGCTATTACTAATTACAAATTGCATGTGTCACTTGCAACACAACATATGTTGCACATTGACCATGCACGATTTGACTTGTGTGCAATGCAATATGTATGGGTTGCATTCAGGACATGCGGGGTTATAAATAATTTGAATCGAACCATATACTATCATGTTTCAAGTTTGGTCATTCATTTTCTTATCGAGTTCAAGTTGAGATTGGACATGGCTTGGGTTTTAAAATTTTGTTCAAGCTTGATTATTAGTTTTCTTATTTTCTTGAGCCATTGTCAAGCTCTAATTGAGTTGAATAAATTATATGTTAGATTTTAATGATTGAAACATGTAGCCTTTTCACTAAACATAATTGAATTTATATATTTTAATCTAGATTTAACTGAGTTTATATAAGTTAATTCATGAATGTTTAAATATTAATTAGAAAATATTTTAAGCTTTATATTTAGCTCTTTGTTCGACATTTTCCATACATATATTAGTAATAATATACCTAATTTTTAAAGTGCATAAGATATAAAAAAATCTATACCTAATTTTTAAAATACATAAGATATATGAAGATGTATGCTTGAACATAGAGTACCTTACCAAATAAACGATTAAGCTGTGGTTAAATGAACGTTATATTAAGTTCTTGACAATTTATTTGCTTAACAACTAATGAGTGTGCTCACAAACATAAATAAATTCGTGGGTTAGTCTTCAAGCTTGTTATATTAAATAAATAAACATAAATGAGTCTTATTTGAATGAATATCAAATTGTTTAACTAGTGCAATAATTTATTTACAACCCTAATGCCATGCGTGGGATGATCCCTGCCTCATGAAGATCACATATTATGTAAGATGCATCTTCAAACACCTCGAGTGGTTGAGCACTTAACAACTGTGGTCTTGGCACGCTCTTTGCTATGACACCTATGAAACCCCTCAGTGTGTGCTAAGAATTAAAAAAATAAAATTAAGTTTATGAATGGTTCTTGGCACGCTCTTTGCTTTTACAAATCTTATTTGTATCAAGAGATACCTTCAAAATTGAATAGACTTTTGAAATGTCAGATATTTCTTATCTGCCGTATGATATTTATTTATTTTCTTACTCCCAACCATCACCTATCACAAAGGATCAGTCAAATTAAAATCTATCCGTGATTTCTTTACAAATAATATTTATAATTTTATATTAGCTATTTAGACATCTATTGTTTTACATTCACTTTATTTACTAGCTATTAAGTGCCACCAAGTTCATAAGGCATGAAGGTTGAAACATAAGCTCTATGGTCCCAACCAGCTGATTTAAATCCGAGTTAAGTGGGTTTTTTTTCTCCACAAATTTATTGATGTCTGCCATGTATCATGCGGCATCTAAGGTTGTCCAGTAATCTGGCCACTAGTGTCATAGCTGATCGATGCTTAGGTGACATTACTTACTGCTCATTTTGTTGAAAACCCAAATGTGCCAACATGTCCTTTGATTACACTTACAATGCAAAAGGGCTTGACTTTACCAATTCTTTAGCAAGGGAGCTCCATTATTTGATGAAGCTTTTTTTCCCTTCAAATAATCGTCCTTAATAATTAGCATTCACTGCTGAAGACTCCAGTGATTTTTGATATGTTTCTGCAGATAAGGCTGAAGAAAGAACAAGAGGAAAAGGAGCACAAGAAAAAGGAGAAAGCAGAGGCTCACCTTTATACAATTATAAAGGTCTTTTATTTATAATACTTGGTTCTTTTCAGTATGAATTTTGGCTGAGCTCCGTCTTATCTGTGCTTTCTTTCTGTGAGTGTCCTTTAACAAAAATAGGTAGCTCGGGATGAAGATTTGGCCCAACAGACTGGAAAAGATATTTATTTTGATTTAGTTGATCATGAAAAGGTTCGCAGTTTCCGCATACAGAAGCAAATGCCTTTCAATCTTTTCAAGGTAATGATTTTAGAGTTGTCGTATAATCAAGTTTTGCATGTGATTTCTCAATTACTTCAGCCAGAGTTACAATTTCACATCTCAGTTGACGCAGTTGGATAATTAATCTTAGAGTTGGTTGGAAAGGTCTTTAGCGTGCAGTTCTTTTAACGTGACGTGTCTTTTCTTTTGTGGACGAGCTGGTGTTTTTGTTCTTCAGGGCTATGTTTAACTTATAAGGCTTATGGTGACATTTGGCTCGTCTTTCTTGCCATGTAAAATAGGCCACTTTTTTCTTACTTAGCAATGTCATTGGAAATTGTTCAAATGTCGGTATTTTCTTTTCTTATAATGTTGAGAAGCATTTTGTTTTAATTAGGCATTTTATTTCTGTGTGCTATTAAAACAAATTTGGCTATTTGTTGAAAGTAAAGTTCTTAATATTTTATCTAATGAAAATAAAATGGATCAGGTTTTCTATGAAGTTAGGTCCTTATAATAATGATATATTTATGGGAGGAGAGAGAGAGAGTAGCAATGGTAAATATGTTTAGATGCCTTCTTTAAGTCAATTTGTAGGTTATTTGCATGGTGTTTCTGGATTCGCTAATGAACTAGCTTATTATTATTATTGTTATTATTATTATTATTATTATTATTATTATTATTATTATTATTATTATTATTATTATTGTAAGTAGTCTGATTGATGCATGCAGTGACATTTTTATTCTTCTGTTGATTCAGAAATCTCAGTTATGAACATTGTTTGTATATTCACTATATCAGATGAATTGATTACCATAGATGTTCAAATAGCTTCGATCTTCAACTCTTAAGAATTCATTTGATTTTGACTTCGATTTATTTATAACAATAAAGTGGTCTACAGGATGAGGTAGCCAAGGAATTTGGTGTCCCAGTCCAATATCAACGTTTTTGGTTGTGGGCTAAGCGGCAGAACCATACCTACCGTCCCAATAGGCCATTGCATCCGCAAGAGGAAGCACAATCTGTAAGTACTTCGTAGCCTTTGATAGTTATAGTTCCTAACATTGAACCATTTTAGATAAGAAGCATATTTAATTATGTACTTATTGACACCATCCCTGAGTCTTTTAGTGTAAGATTTCTGTACCTGCTATTCTTATTTTAATTCTGCGCTGCTTTGTGTTCCATTAAATAGTACGAGCAAGCCTTAACTCTATTTGTTCAGATTAGATTTGTGATATTGTTTATGGATGCGTTTAATTGATATGAAAAATGCGTCAGTTATAACATGCTTGCAATATGCTTACTTTTTGTGAATTCTTGTTTGGATTTGTTATCTGATAGACAACTTGACTGTAAGGCATGCCAACTTCTGAAGGGGTATTGTGTCTGTATTTCTTGCTTTTCATAGAAACATGGATTTTATGCCCTATTCAAACATTTCAAATTTAAAAAATTTGGCACCACATCATTTTCACGAAGTTCTGTATTTCTTAAGGATGTAATTGTGGCTCATTTGAAATGTTGGCAAATAAGGTGTTGCAGTTATTAGACAGTGCGTTATGTCATTGCACGGTTATATTGTTTTATTAAATTTTCATAGAAAAATAATTTATCTACACTTTCTAAATGAATTACAATAGATAAATTTGTATGTATGAGCAAGAAACATTTTCTGTTGTTGCATGTGTTGTAATGAATGTTACTCTTACATCTAATGAATTTATGAATGTATACGTGCTGTTTATGATGTATTTGCAGTTGTTTAAGGTCATGACTGTGTGCGCACATGAAACTATTTATCGGTATGCCATACTATCCATCTTGTACCTTTTGAAATTACATTTCTTTTATGTTGAATGTGTGTATCTTATCCATACTATATAAACTATACTAACCACCACATTTTGTATCTCTTTTTTGACCACCACAATACATGATTTTGTACAAACATTTTATTTCTGGCTTTGTGAATCAGACTTTAGGATATGCTAGTAGTTCTTTGATCTGCATCCGGACATCTTGAACCTATGACATGTAGTCACCATCAGTTTTACTGCACAGTAAACTTCATAGTTTGTGTTTTAGAAATAACGTAGAGCTTAAATGGGAGGTAAGGCTTCAACCCCTCCATTATCTTGCTAATATCTATTATTACATTAAGTTTGTTTGTTTTGCGTGCCATTTTAAATCATTAGAGATTGTGCTCAAAGCTTCATCTATGCGCACCGCATTCATGTGTAAACTGAATAACGAATATCTTGTCACCTTTCTGTGGAGGGGTTGATATTCTGAATTTGATCTATTTATGCTGTTTTGATAAGTATTAATGTAACTTTTAAAGGAAACATCAGCAGTTTTCTATTTGAACATTTCGCTTTCTGTAGGAATAGAAAGTAGATGGGTGCTGTACTACGTTCTTTTCCAACTCTAAATAGGTGAGATAAGGCTAATGATGATAATATTGTATGATACGTTTGCCCAGGTTGGGCAACTAAGAGAAGTATCAAATAAAGCACACAATGCTGAACTAAGGCTATTCTTGGAGGTGGAACTTGGACCGGTATTTTATATCTTACGAGTCTCTTATATTTGTGTTCAGGATTTGTTCTTTCATAAATGTTAATGTATTCTTTTGTCTTGTTGCAAACATGAGGCGTTTACTAATATGTGGTTTCTTTTTTTTTTCTTATACCATTATTTATATTATTTACTTTTATCACTTAGGACCTTCGTGCTCTCCCTCCACCAGACAAGACCAAGGAAGATATACTATTATTTTTTAAACTTTATGACCCTGAAAAAGAAGAGCTAAGGTAGTTGGCATTTCTTCTATTATATATTACTTTTTTCTATTCTTATCTTGCTCTAAGTTTTGTGTGTAAAATTTGCTCTTGGTATTCTATAGATATGTTGGAAGACTTTTTGTGAAAGCTCTTGGGAAACCGTTGGAGATATTGTCAAAATTAAATCAAATGGCTGGTTTCTCTCAAAATGAAGAGATTGAACTTTATGAGGTTACTCCATTTAACCCAAATTTATTAATTGTTCCATTTTTTTTTTGTGTTGGTGATTGTAGTGGCTACAACTCACACTAAAGAATCTTGCCAATTTTCCCATCAATGACACAGGAAATAAAGTTTGATCCGAGTGTAATGTGTGAACACATCGACAAGAAGCTATCTTTTCGGTCTAGCCAGGTTCGTTGTATTTCTCATTTAAATCTAAATTCATTTGTAGTGTACTTTTATCAGTAATACCTATATATTTTTACTTTCAGCTTGAAGATGGTGATATCATTTGTTATCAAAAAGCTCCTATTCAAGATAATGAAGATAAATATCGTTATCCGGATGTTCCTTCTTTTTTGGAATATGTTCATAACCGACAGGTAATTTGGTGATTTATCTACATATGTGCTGCAGGGATTTAAGCAGTTAATATTATTTGCCTTGTAATTACCCTCGCCTCCCTTGCCTGTGCCCCCCTTATCCAGATGCTCATCTCTGTGTGTATTTAAGTTCATAATTAGTCTTGTAAATGTTAACTATAACTAATTTTGTATTTTCTATTTATTTCCAAAGTTAGTCTTTTAATTAATCATTAAGACAATTTTTGAATGCTTGTAAATCTTTCCAATTGATGATAGAATAGAAAAAATATTTTTTTTCCTTGGGTTTCCCTTTGGGGAATTAGTTCCTTCTCTTGCTTCTAGTGATGAGGGTTTATTTCTCTTCTTGAACTGTTACCTCCCCTCATCTTAAGGAATTCATTCATTTATTCCTCTACCTCCTCCATATTGAATTCTTCATTTCCCAGGGTATCATGAATAACATTTTGTAAATTTAGATTCAACTAAATCAAATTAGATTTATTTTGTAACTATAACCATTTTATGCATTTGACACATCATCAAAATAATATTAAGAAATCACAATTTCTTCGATAAGATCATATTTAAGCTTTCATAGCTTTTGTATTAGTGTATGCTTGACAGGCTTTAGAGAAGGTATTGGTTTATTAATGCAAATCAAGAGAAAATGAAAAAAAAAAAAAATCGCCAAAGATTAACATCCACTAACTATTTTTAATGCAATTTCATTCCGCCAATATTGGATTTTGGATTTTTACATACCTTAACATTTCTATAAACAACAAAAAAATAATAATTCCCACTGTTTGCATTAATTCAACACTCTTGAATTTCTATCAACTCAAGAAGCTTCCAATCCAGCCTGATCAAGATAACAAGAACTGGTTCTTGGTTTTCCTAAACCGAGAGAATAAGAGAAGTCCACGTTCCAAGATAGGCATAGTAAGGAAATAATCAAATAATCAGCCACATAAGGAAATCGAAAACAGCAAACAAATCCTATGGAAAGCCATTAAAAACATATGCACATTTTGCAGTAGGCAAAACATATTTAATCCATTAGCAATCCATACCAAAAACCGTGTCAGGCTACAACATAGCCATGTGCAAGTTCTGATTAAAATCAAGGAACTAAAAGTGCTGAACTAGTGAATCCGACGAGACCTTAATTGAAAAAAATTGCAAGAAGTTAACCAAACTCGCTAATGTAATCAAGATAGAAGAGACCATAACCTGTTGACATAGCATGGTATATGTTACATTTCTAGTTCCCCAGTCTTTAATCTTTTTACATCCCTCTTCTATCCCCTTAACTCATAACGTTTAATTTTATGTGACTTCCAATGTAGGTGGTCCATTTTCGGTCATTGGAGAGGCCAAAGGAGGATGATTTTAGCTTGGAGTTGTAAGTCTTAATGCCTCTTATTGTTAATGCAAACTAGCTATTTTATGTGATAGATAGATCTGAGATTATTTGACATTTCTAATGCATGTTTATTTTTGCTTTTTTTAAAAAAATAAAATCATATGCTTTAGGTCAAAGCTTTTCACCTATGATGACGTTGTAGAAAGACTTGCTCGACATATTGGTCTTGATGACCCATCAAAGATACGGTTGACATCTCATAACTGCTATTCTCAACAGCCTAAACCCCAACCTGTCAAATACAGAGGTGTAGAGCATCTTTCGGACATGCTTGTCCACTACAACCAGGTTTTTCTGTTCTAAACAATTTTTTTGAATCTGGAATCTGTTGTATTATGCTTGCTGATGTTAACTGAAGGAATATACATGACTTGTGAAATAGATCTCGGACATATTGTACTATGAAGTTTTGGATATTCCTCTTCCAGAATTGCAAGGTTTAAAAACTCTTAAAGTTGCATTTCATCATGCCACGAAGGATGAGGTGTGCTTGCTGTTTATTGCTTATGTTTAATAACATGAAAGTTTATGTTGAAAACATGATTTCTCTATTTATCCAGGTAGTGATTCACAACATCAGGCTACCAAAAAGCAGTACTGTTGCTGATGTGATTAATGACTTGAAAACAAAGGTGGCTGTAGCTGCAAGCATTATGCTTTCATATATACTTTCACCTATGATTTTTAATCCTGACAATTCAACTTTGGAAATTTAGTGCTTTACTGCTTTATGTAGCCATGCTGTACTTGTAAGGAGAACGTTCCTTTTGATCATAAGATAATCAACTATATGGCGCATAGTTTTTTTCTGGTTCTTTTGATTTTCTTACTGGATTTCATCCACGTTTCAAGTATGACTTTATTTTGATAGGTCGAACTGTCTCATCCTAATGCGGAACTCCGATTAATTGAGGTTTTCTACCACAAAATTTACAAGGTACTCTTCAAGCATATCGAGCTATCTAAAGTTTGCGCTATACTTAAAGTGAATGATCTTAGCATTCATATTCTAATCATAGAGTTAATATACTAATCAAGATTTTATCCTCTTATAGTTTTGAGGTTTACTTTAAGTTGTTGAGATAAATTTTTGTCTCCTGCTTTCTAGTTGTTATATATCAAACCATTTTTTTAGCATAGTTGAGCATCATCTGTGGTTGATTGTATTGCTTTGATGACATAATTATTTTATATTGATTAATTGTTGTAATGGTATGCTAAAATGTTAAATTAGAATTTTTAGAAAATTTTTCAAGTAGAGGTTTGTGTAGCATCTATTCAAGAAGACTTTTAGGTTCTGGATTTAACATTATCTGAGCTTTTTATGAATAGTTTAAGCCTCCTTCACCGCAGTCATCCTTTTCTTTTTTTGGTTGTAGATCTTTCCGCCCTCTGAGAAGATAGAAAACATAAATGATCAGTACTGGACCCTGCGTGCTGAGGAGGTAAGTTGTTTATTCCTGATCTCCTTTTGCTTGAGAAAAGCTTTTACTCTGGCGTTTGTGATCACTTTGGCATTTTTAGCATGTTTGTTTTGTGGAGAACTTTATTCCTTTAATATTAGTGAATACATTTGGGGCTTTGTTTCTTCAATATCAATGTATGCTGCAGATTCCAGAAGAAGAGAAAAACCTTGGTTCACATAATCGCTTGATTCATGTCTATCACTTCATGAAGGATCCTAATCAAAACCAAATGGTAAATTATATGAAATTTGGTTATAGAATATTTGTTTTTGAGCCAATTTTATTATGCGAAATGATTTTTATGTTAGCAGCTACTCAGCTAGTAATATACTAGTTTAAATAGCACAGCTTTAGTAACTTGTTAAGGGTATTGTTTTTGTCATTCTTAAGGAAACGTTTTTTTTAGATATCTGGTTTTTTAGTTACCAAATTTATTTATTTTTCCGGCAGCAGGTTCAGAACTTTGGGGAGCCTTTCTTCTTGGTTATCCATGATGGCGAGACACTAGCTGAGATTAAATTGCGCATTCAGAAGAAACTGCAAGTTCCTGATGAGGAATTCTCGAAGGTACAACTTTTATGTTACTAAAATTTGTGTTTCTCTATATTTTGGGTCTTGTTGTTTTTGAACTAACTTTACCTCTTGCTTGAGGTTAGTAGCATATTCCTAATTTAAGGACTATAAATTCAATCAATGTTGCTGTGATGTTGGCATGCATCTATATCTACTCCAATGCTAAAATGTAAAAAGTATTTGCATTTAAGCTCCCCTTCTTCTTCTTTCTACTTGTGCATGTTTTTTTTCTTTCTTTTCACACTTAACGAGTTTTCATTTCGTTGATACTGCTACAAATGGTGTTTAAGCAACACAGGTACTACAGTGATGCGCACTACCCTGCAATGTGAAATTGCTTGTTGTTTTGTGATGGTAAAATTGCATGCAAAGAGAAAATATAAATTTTGAGATAATTATTGGCAACAGGACCTGATGCAAGGATGCCAGTATGATGTATTGCAGCCAATATGATGCACAGTATAATTTCAGTCAAAATAAAATAAAGGATTCACAAATTATAAGTTTCCAATTAACTTAATTTGGCTTGAATATTCTACATAGTATGATTTCATGCATAATCAAATAAAAGATTCACAAATTGTAAGTTTCTAATTAATTTAATTTACATTTTTTTTTAAAATGTAAACATGTTTTATTGGAATTTAAAACCAATTGATACTAAAATAATCCAATAATTCCAACAAGAAATTGAAATAATATAAAATTAGTGGGAAAAATGAATTAGTTTTCACAACTTGTATTTTCGAGATTTCAATTTTTTGTCAAAATAAAAAACATTAAACAAGTCAATATTAAATAATAAAAGAAATAGAACAAGGGCCAAAAATATCAAAGTAAGAAAAAAATAAGTCTCATGCTGATACAATGAGATACTTTTTACAGAATTAGATCGTTGACTTGTAATGCAATTGAAGGAACCAACAACACATTCAACCTGCACTGTCAATAGCACAACTAGGAAGAGAAATTTTATTCAAGCCAAAATAATTTAATCGCATGCCTCAACATATATTATGGATGACTCATCGCCAGATAATTTGATAGTACAAAATTAACCTCCAGTTCGTGGATTAATTTTGCCATAGGAGATGAAAGAAAAGAGTTTTAAAGAAACTATAAGATACCGCAACGGAGGAATAGGATTAGGGGAATATTTAAGAAACATAATTAGGCATGCAATCTTAAGCAATCAACAACCAGAGAACTGGGGAAGGGTCAAAGAGGCATAAGACCCTCACAGAGAAGGACTAAGGTATGATTGATATGAAAAAGAGCAATTTGAAGATTGGAAAAAAGAAACTTTTTATTAAAAGTTTAATTCAGCCAAATTTTACCAAACTTGGCTAGACATTTGATCAGGTGGAAACGAAGTGTTTTCATACTTTAAAAATTATGTTGAAGCACACTGCTATTCTGAAGCTATGGTTGTGAATCTTGTTTTCTAGGAATTTGGATTGCTTTGTATGGTTTTGCTTGAAGAGTAGGAACCAAGTTGGGCCGAAATTGTAACCAACTTACGTTTCTTAATGTCATTTTTAACTTCAATGTTTCCTTTAGGTGAAGCACGTCCTCTTTGTCCAAACGTTTCTATGATTAGTAACAGTTATTCTTTTTGTTCATGTAGGCGAATAATGGCTTGTTTTCTTTAGTTGCATGTCATTTTTTTGGCATGGGCATTGCCTTTGTGAGCTTTTGTTGATGATCACATGGATTTCACTCAATATTTGATAGGGCAGATGTAAAAATTTTCCTTCCCCTGATGATGCAGACGATTATTTGCTCGATAAACCAGCATAATTTGCATAAACTAGACTACTTTTTTTTTAAGTTGTGTACCTTATTATGAAACCTGGTGATCTTCTGTCGGTTTTGCAGTGGAAATTTGCACTATTGTCACTTGGACGCCCTGAATACTTGCAGGATTCTGATATTATTGCTGGCCGATTTCAGGTTCCTGAAGCTTTTAGTTCCTGAATTTGTTTAATAATGTTTAAGTGATTGTCTCAAAATAGGTTTTTTCCTCTTCTGTACAGCAGAGGAGAGATGTCTATGGAGCCTGGGAACAATATCTTGGATTGGAGCATTCTGACACCACACCTAAAAGGGCTTATACGGCTAATCAGGTACAAAACTAAATCTACATTCTCTCTCCAAGAAATAGGACATTGCCCAGCCTGTCCTTTTATGTCCTGATCATTCTCTTAAAGGGGTATCATTACAAATATTAAATCTGAGAGGGCTGCACTAAACAAGAAATAAGTAAATTTTTATCATAATTATCAATATTTTTTTATTACAAAGGGAGCATGCGCCCCGCTCCTAGTATCTCCATCACCAGAATTTTTATTTTGTGCGGAGTCCGGACCGTCCGGAGACCAATAAAAATGCGCCACGACATCTTAAAAATATACCGCGCTCGCGTGGAACCGGACGGTTCGAGAACCGTCTGGTGTCCGCACAGAATAATAGTTTCCAGCACCGTTATCTTGACAGATTTTGGCTTCATGGTTTTCATATTTTGCAGAGTCGTCACGCCTACGAAAAACCTGTGAAAATCTACAACTAATGAATGTCATCATTCTTTGTCGTGTGAGTTCCTGACATGGAGAAAACGCCTCGACATCCTGTGTGGCATAGAGGCCCGTGACATTTAACCATGGAATCTGAGTTGCCTATGATGAACCCAAAAAAAAATGGAACTTCCACTCATGTTTGGCAATTGAGTCTGGTTTTGCCGGCTGTGGAAGCTCAACCTCAGACTATCTGCTCCTGTTTATTCCCGTAGCACTCTAGTTGAGTCCGTCAGTACAGTTTTAAGGTCACATCGTCTCAATCAGTGTAATTCTAGTGCGCACAAGTAGAAGAAGATTTTGACTTAGATGTATACAGAATATATATAGTTGGTTTCTCTCGCTCGTTTGATTGTTTTGATTTATTCTCTCACTGCTACATGGGGATATCGATCATATGCTACTTTTGCTTCTGGGAGAAAGATGGTGGGGTGTATAATTTGGTGATTGGGTTGTCACTGCTTTGATTTGTAGTAAACTGCGTATGTAAAGAAACGAGCTTCCACCTCTTTTAGACTCCTCTTCTCTCCTATCCTACTTTCTTAATTTATGCACCTGTTCTTTTTCCATTGTTTGGGTAACACTGGAAGGTCATCATGAAAACTTCTATACTGATTAATTCTGCACTGAAGAAGTCACTTTATTATTATATATATGTAATAATTTGTTATATGATACACTATGCTATTTATTTAAATATATATTATTTAAGTAGATATAATAAATTATGTATTAATTATTATTTGTTTATAGTTTAATGTATATTGTATTACCTTTTATTATGAATAATATTATTTATATTTAAATGTAGAAGTCTGCTTGCTTGCATATATAGAAGTGATTTGTGGAGAAATGTGAGCTTGTAGGGGAAAAAAGGTTAAATGTTAAATTAGCCTTTTATATATTCTTTTGAGGTTTTATAGGGGTAATGCATTGCTCCTTTTGCTTTTTCAGAATTTCTCAGAATTTTAATTTCTGATCTAGAGTTTATGACCTTACAGATTTGTAAATAGTTTGGTTGTTTTTTATGATTTACAATTCTTAAATTTTAGTTTGGGCGGATTATGTAAAAATAACCAAACTGAAATTCGATTAAAATCATTGACCCAATTTGTGTAAGTTATGTTGTGAATCTATCTGTTTAAGGCAGAAGGAATTTTAATTTAATTTTTTTTTGTTAGGAGAAATGTTACATTTGTCTGATTTGGTTAACTACTGATTTTAATGAGGTTTTTTCAATTTGAAATAGCTATTGATACATTGATAGCAACTTTTAAAATAGTTAATTTCTCATAATAATTTTACAAATAGAGAATTTTGTTTTTATTGGAGCATTATTAAAATTGAAGTTAGAGAGGTTTTAAAGAAAATGAAGTGTGTGAAAATTGTTGGATCAAATGATACTCCAACAGAGGTCGAAATATGTAAGAGATGAAAGAATTTTTTGGCTTATTAAAATTTTTAATATTATTTTGAAGAATAAAAAATGCTAGCTATGTGAAGAATAAGTGTTGTTTTTTATGTTCAAGAAGATTTATTATGAAAATTATAAATGAATTAAGTTGATGTGTCATACTTTAAAAATATAGGAGAGAGTTATACATCATAAGTTATGACATGATATTACTATTTCTCAAAATTAATTTGAATTCATACCACAGAGTAGATTTACTATGTAAGTCATATATTTATTAAGAGGTTTGATGGAGAAGTATAAAGAGAAAAAGGAAGATCTTAATATGATATTTATTGATTTAGAGAAAACATATGATAAAGTCATACGAGAAGTGCTATGGAGAGTTTTAAAAAAGAAAGTGATTAATAATGCTTATATTCAAGTCATTAGGGATATATATGTTAGAGCTATTACTTGTGTTACACAAGATGATTTGACCAAGTATATTCCAATTTCAGTTGGAATATATTAAGGATCAACCTTAAGCCCATATCTTTTTGCTTTAGTCATGAATTTCTTATTAGAGATTTGCAAGAGCATGTTCCCTAGCGTATGCTTTTTGCTGCCTATATTCTTCTTGTTGATAAGACTAAAGAGCGAGTTAAAGGTAAATTTGAATTATGGAGATCGACCTTAGAGTCTAATGGTTTTCATTTGAGTGGATCTAAAATCGAATACATTGAATATAATTTTAATAGTAATAGATCTAGTGAGGGTATTGTGACTTCGTGCGATCAAGTCATTAAAAAGAGTACACATTTTAGATATATTGGGTCTATTGTTCAGAGTGATGGTGAAATAGATGAGGATATTATTAATATAATTTATGTTGGATGGATGGAGTGGAGGAATCCATCGGGCTTGCTGTATGATAGAAAACTACAACTCAAACTTAAGGAAAAATTATGTGAGATGGTGGTAAGACCTGCTATGCTTTATGACATAAAATGTTGGCCATTAAAAGTGAAGCATAATATTAAGTTAAGTGTTGCAGAGTTGAGGATGCTGAGGTGGAAGAGTGGTTTTACTCTAAGAGACAAGATACGAAATGAGCATAGACGTAAAAAGGTTGGAGTAGCTCCAGTGGCAGATAAGATTAGAGAGAGTCGCCTTAGATGGTTTTGTCACCTAATATGATGGCCTTCTGTTGAGCTGATTAGGAGAATAGATGTATTAGTTTATTAGATTTAACCTAAGTTAAAAAAGGAAGAGGTAGACCTAAAAAGTCTTGATTTGAAATATTAGAAATGATCTTTCTTTATTAGATCAATAAGAATTTGACTCTTAATCAGACAATGGAGAAAAAAATTCATGTAACTGACCCCACATAGTGGGATAAAAGCTTGATGTTGTTGTTGTATGCAATCACCCAAATAAATTCTTAACTATCATGAGATTATGATTTTGCTCAGAATATTTTTTTTTACTATTTTTTAAAATAACTTTCTAATTTAAATACTTTTAATTTATTAATATTTTGTATTAAAAAGTTGCATTAAAAAGCAATGAAAAAATCATCCTAAATAAGACTTAAATATGCTAAATTATTAGAACTTCACCTATAGAGAGAGAGAGAGAGAGAGAGAGAGAGAGAGAAATTGGATTATTATAATTATTAAAGGAGAATAGCTCTTATTCTTTTCTATTTTATGCCATCTATTCACAACTTGAAAACTTAGGACATTTAATTACATTTAAAGTAGACCATTCTTTTTCAGTTCTCACAATGCCGGATGCGTTTTCATCGAAAATTCATCAAAAAATGAAATTTTCTGGTGGATTTCTATTGTTATCGACAGATTTGATCCATCGATAACAGATCATTTTCCTATAGTGTTTATTGTCTTTTAAAATAGAATTTTAGTACAAAAACTAAAAAATTTGTACTAAAATTATGTTTTAAAAAGCAATACAAAAGTCGTGTCAAACGAAATCTTAATCAACTAAAAAATATTTTAAATCTTTACATTCAAAGAAATAAATATGTATTTGTTGACCTAACCTTCAATAAGTTTTAGATGACTTTAATAAGGAGGTATGTTAATGCAGGAGAAGAGAGAGAAATTAATAGATGAGCTCAATACATATTATCTTGTTAAAGATAGTAAATAATGGGAAAAAAAATTATTTGATGTTTCTGAAGTAATTTATATAGGATAGTTAGAAATCACTATATTTATTTTGAAATTAATAATATATGAAATAATTTTTAACTTTCAGTAAATTTCAATCCAGTCTTAATACATATTGAATCAATAATATTCAGGCACAATTATTTTTCCAAAAAAATAGTAACATAAAATTACAAAGCTTAAATGTTTTTTATGATTATTAAGCTATGTTCAGTGGCATTGTGCTGTAGTTTTTTTTTTCTAAAAAAAAAAAAAAAAAAGCTTTAAAAACTAATAAAAAAGCTGTCTCAAACGAAGCTTACGATATATTAGAGATATAATGGAGCACAAATTGAGCAGTAACATTCAATATTCTAGATAACATAACTGTTCAAACTCACTCCTTGTTTATGACTTTGGGAACCTTAATGTAGGGGCTGTCATAGTTTGGCACTTCTGCCAACATTGCTTCCCTGCAAGAGCCAAATAGTCAAAGTAAATGAATGCTCCATTTGAATGGAAAAACAATAATGCTTAAACAATATTAAAAAAAAAGATTGAATGATGTGCAATATTCTCTTTATGAAGAGCACTTGTTCATACAAGCAATTTTGTTAAAAGTTGCAAAGCCTAATTTTTAATCTAAGAACATCAATTTAATCATGGACCGACCTTCACGATAAGATCATTGTGGGGGATAGAAGGGCTCACGCGCCCAGAAAAATAATCAATATTTATAGGTTATTTCATTAAGGATGTTTTAGATAGTTTATTATATCAATGCAGATTTTCTTTCTTTTATAAAGAGAGATTATTACATGCGGACGCCGGATGCGTCAGGAGGCCAATCCGGACACACCACATCACCCAATGTACTGTGTATTAGGTGACATGACACGTCTGGATTGTCCTCCAGATACGTCCGACATCCACGGGTAATAATTTTTCTTTTATAAAAGGGTTGTGAAATTTGCATCAGCAAGATATATATATATATATATATATATATACACACACACACACATTGATCTTCTATTTTATTATAGATTTTATTATGATTTAATGTTGAAGAATTACAACATTAATTCCTTTACTCTAATCCAATATGAAGTAATCATAAATTTTTGGAATGATGTTCGCAATTCCCCAATAAGGTTTATACCTTTTCATATGCCAGATCAATCAAATCTAAGGGAAATTATTGAACAAATTAATATTGTTCTTGGACAAAGAAGGTTCTAATTATAGGGAGAAATAATCACCTATTTTGGAAAGTTTCTGGTGAGTCTTCTCTAAGGTCTGCATTTAGTTCAGTATCTGCAAGAAAACAAAGCAGTGGTTAGATCAAAAGAATGTAAACTAAAAGACATGAGAGGACAAGCCATCACCCACAGTAGAAGCACCCTCTTGGCAAAGGCAAGAGTAGAAGAAGTAATTGTCTGCCAGCCAATACAAGTAAAAAACAAGCAATCTTATAAAAGTAAAACAACAGAAGCACAATAAGCCAAGGAGACACACCAAAGACATGAGAGGACTTGCATCTCCAACCATTTGTGGGAGCGAGTTGATCATAAAAAGGAAAGTCATGCTCCAAAATGCTCCAAGGACGAACACAAGCATGTAGAAAAACTTAGGGACATGGCACACAAGAAGCCACAAGAAAAAGAATCATAAAAACCTCAAATCCAAATACAAAAAAGGTCATACTCATAATGATAAAGAGGAGATAAAGAAAGAAGGAATTTAAAATCCCAAATTCCATCTTGAGGGGGCAAGTAAAGAGGATGGTTGGCATTTTTTCAAGGAGGATGCTTGAATAAAGGATAAATTGCTTAAATCATAGAATAAAGATAGCTTTTTATCCTATTTTCTAGTTATTAGAATTATAATTTCATCATTAAAAATTATAGATCATTATTCTATAAATTTATTCATTAAATTATTTAAGAAATTAAAAAAAACAATTTTACTCCAATTACTCCCCCTCTTTCAATCTCTCACCAAAATTAGTCATAGCCATCTTTTTCTCTCTCTACTCTTCCATCTCCCCATCTCTTTAGCACTCTCCATTACTTTTTTCTCTCTTTAGACATGACTAACCTAAGGAGAGAAGGATTTAATTCAAATGCAAGAGTCTAAAAGGAAGGGAAAACAAATGCATGGGAAAAAAAGAAGAACAAAAGAAAATAGGGATGAATCCAAATAAGCGAAAAGAAGACCATTGAGCTTCTAAAGGAGTAAGACTCCTCCTAAGGTTTAGTTTCCTGAGGTACAGGTTTCATAAAGCGGCTGCAAATCTTGTTGGTGGTATAAACAAGATTATAAGAGGTTAAGGGTATAGGTTTGTTCATAATGATGCGAGGATTTCAATTATATGGAAATGAACAAGCTGGTGTTTACTGTTGAGTAGTTATTGAAACTACAGGTACAGTTCAGAAGCACTTCAGTTCTAATAATAATAGAAATTTGATTGCTAAAATGAAACTCTATCAAAGTGCAAAATTTATCAAACCTAAATGTCATCTGCTTGTCTGAATAGATAACGAAGAATGTATTTGATGACATGGTTTATCTTTAACAATCAAATAAATGCTTAAATGGAATCTCTGAAGCAAGATAAACATATTGTCAACAAACACATTAAGTGGAAAGGTATTTAAAAAAGTTACAACTAAAAATGCAAAGATTAACTTATTGGTTAGCTTGGCCATGGAAAACAACATAATACCAAACAAAAATTTATTGCAGGACCTCCAACATAAATAAAGTTCAAGAAAGCAGATAGCAAATAATATAACCAGTCTGATCTGATCACACATACCGGCTCGAAATGAAGGTTGAACGGACACGAGGTCAACAGCCTGAAGCTGCCCAAACCTATTAGAAAAGGACAGTACCTTGCATAATCATCTTGAATTACCAAAGAAACTCATTTATTTCAACAAAACGACTTCAAAGCAGCTGCTCAACAAAATTGAATTCTTCGACTCCAAAAAGGAATAATGGGTATAAAGTAAAAATAGACGTCAAATAGATGATATGCTGAGTTGTAAAAGAATAATCGAACATTAAGATAAATGGAGAAAGAAAAGAAGAAAAATATATTGACAAGCCACAAAGAAATAACCTAACAATAAAGGCTGGGGCAGGCGAACGTCACTTGGGAGTGGAAGAGAAAAGTACAAACAAAGCCATAACATGCCAAGAATTCTGCTTGGATAGTTGAAGGAGCCATTATTGTTGTTTAACACTTCCAAAATATGGTTCTTCCACTCAACATAAAGATATAGCTAAATGTGGGGATCATTTTTATAACAAACAAACTTAGAGTTTGAAGTCTGAATAATCTACAAAGAATCTACTCTCATGTAAAAAAGCATGTAATTCTTTGTCCTCTGCAAGAACCTCATAACTTTCTCAGCAGTAGCCCAATGATCTTGCGCTAAATTTGGCTATTATCTTCCCAAAATACCAATAGAAAAAGCTATGTCAGATCTAGCACAAAGTTGAATATTCATCAAGCTTCCAACTGCATTTGCTCAAGGCACAGATTTCACGGACTTATTTTTCTTTTTCATTTCTTAGACATTGACTCAGACTCAAACTAAACTTGTCACTCTTTACAACAGGTGCATCTCCAAATTTGCAATTTTATACATTAAACCTAGCAAGGAGAAAACCAATATAATTTGAGAAAGTCCCAATAATCCCTAGGATCTATCATGATGTATCTGAATGCTAAGACGAAAAAACATTTCTTTGATACGCCAAATAAAAAATTCTAGAAAAAAATGTTGTGTTTCTTTAAGCAACTCTAAATCATTACTAGCAAGTACAATTTAATAAACATGAACTAAAGGAAAAATTACTCCACTGATCTTGATATATAACCATTGATCAACTTTATTTTCTTTAAAAAATAAAGTTTTTTTCATCAAAATTTATCTACCATTTAGGAGAATCTTCCTTCAAAACGTATGCAAACTTCCTTAATTTAGGCGCCAAATTATCTTCTCCAATTTCTATAAAGTATAAACACTTTAATTTGTTGCATGTAAACTGATGCAGACAACTAGATAGAAAAAATCAAAAGGGAGAACACAAGGGCTAGTCAAACTTTTCTCAAATTCAACTTAAGCAGGCAAACACTACAGACCGACTTGAAAGAAACAAAACTTAGACAAAAAACGAAACTAAAATAAAAATAAAATAAGCTACCCTCAGAATAACCAACTAATGGTCACCTCCCATGCAATGAAATAATAGGTAAAATAAAAGAAGTGCTTAAGGACATGCAAACCAAAGGTCCACCACAGTTACTTTGGGCCAACGTCCACCACAATACTCCTCCGGCAAATGATACCAAACCAGCCAATAACACCTTCAAGAGCTTGAGAAGAAAGATACAAGTGGGGTGGAAACTTGTGGAGAGAAAAAGTAGGTAAGAAGTCCAAGACGAAATCAAAGAGAGAGGAAGAGAATTGGAAAAAGCTCGCAAGCTCTCCAATAAGAAACCCTTAGGTTTTGAGATATATTCACTCACCAAAAACAGCCTCTTCATGCTTCAAAACAACCCATATTTATAGGTGAAAAGAGGAAGCCAAGCAACCCAAACAGCCTCTAGCCGAACCAACCAAAAAAAGGGAAATAAAAAGACAACAGGCAACGCCTGGAGCAGCACCTAAAGGGACCACGCGGGAATAGGAACAGCCAGCCGCGGGAACAGGTGCCAGGCAGAGAAATTGAAAGGCCAAACGAGAGGGGAAGAACCCGAACAACCCCAATTATGAGCTGAAAAAGGCAACTGAACTTCATAAGCATCATAATGAGCTGAATTTAGTAGTAAAACGCAGCAGCTAACCAAAGGGACAGCATAACCCGAGACAACCAAGCCCAAACCAATGAACCAAATCGGCCCAAGAGCCAAGGCACCAAAGAAGCTAGCACACCCAAGGTAAAAAATGTTCAAAGCACAACCTACTCGTTATCATAGGTTGACTTCCATTATAGGGTAGAAAATAAAAAACAAAAAATAAACATAGCATTCAAATTACAATAGTTCAATAAAAAACTCAAAAAAATTGAAATTTGCATGCATCATAAACATCTAAGTCACCATTCAATAAGTTGTTTTAACACCCAATTTATACAACTCTAAATCAAAATAAGTTATTAGTGTCATTAATGGTACTTGAAGAATTTCTTAATATTCTTCTTGTTAAAAAATGATACAATGCCTATATATATATATACTAAAAAAGTGTCTCATAAAAGAAATAACTAACTAGCTTAATTCTTACCTAAACTTTAGCAAATAGAATCATAGTAGAATAATTTTTTTCTAAAAATTAGAAAATAGAATTATAGAAGAATAATTCTTTCTTAAAATTTAGGAAACAAAATCATAAGATCACAATCAATCTCTCATTTTATCTCTAAAAATATTTTTCTAAAATAAATTCCCCAACTTTGACTTTCTAATATTCAACATTCCCCCTCAAGCTGGAGAATATATATCATACAATCAAAGCTTGCAAATTAAATCTTCAAAGTTAGGCCTAGGTAGAACTTTGGTGAGGATTTCTACAGTTTGTTGCTTAGTAGGGATGAATTTTAATTTAACAATCTCACTAATCACCTTCTTTGTGATGAAGTGTTTGCCAATTTCAACGTGCTTAAACTATCATGATGCACAGGATTCTTAGCTATAATGATAGCTGCCTGATTATCACACATCCTCAGAATAAGAGATGAACTCATTTACCTCAGTTCACTAAGAACCCTTTTTATTCAATCCCCTCACAAATCCTTGTGCTAGTGCTCTATACTCAGCTTCTGCACCACTTCTAGTCACCACTGATTGCTCCTTACTATTGATTACTCAAGACAAAAGAATAGTACCTAGAAGTTAACTGTCTGCCAATGATGTTTCCTGGTCAATTGCATCTGAATAGCCAATTTGCATCTAAATACACTTCAGCGTCACGATTCTCTTCCTTTTTGAAGATTAGGCATTTCCCTAGTGCCATCTTCAAGTATTTACGAATCTTGTAAACAGCTTTCATGTGTTCTTCTATAGGATTGCACATGAATTGACATAGAACACTCACTGCAAAACTAATATTTGACGGAGCGTGTGAAAGATATATTAGAAGTCTAAGAAGTCTCTAATATCTCTCACTATCTATAGATGTACTTACTTTCTCGGTGCCAAATTTCTTCTGATTGGAGGAAATTTTGACAGATGAAGCTAACATGGAGATTGAAAATTATGGACTTTGGATGACATACGATTGATTAAATAGATAACTGTGAGAATGACTTCCCCCCAAGAATAATTTAGAACATTAGAGAAAAACATAAGACATCGGGCAACCTCCAAGAGATGTCTATTCTTACTTTTAGCCACCCCAATTTGTTGAGAGGTGCCAATACAAGAACTTATGTGAATAATCCCATGGTTCTAAAGGTAAGTATTGAGACTACTAGTGAAATATTCCCTAGCATTGTCTGAATTAAATACCTTAATTGATTTTGAATCATAAGATTAAAGGTTTGCACAATTTTTTTGGTCTCAAGCTTTTCTTTCATAAGGAAAACCCAAGTTGCCATTGTATGATCATCAATAAATGTCATAAACCATCGAGTGTCAAAAACACTTTTTATCCTTGAGAGATCCCATACCTCACTATGGATCAAATGAATGACAGTTGAAGGTTTGTATGAAATTTGAGGATATACTTTTCAAATATGCTTTGCAATCTGACAAGTTTCACAATGAAAATATAATGGACTTTATTGATAAATAATTTAGGAAACAATTTTGCAAGATAAACAAAACAAGAATGACCAAGACGGTAATGTAACAATCTAATTTCACTATTTTTAAGGAGATTGTAATTTGACACATAATTGAAAGATTCTAACAGACTCTGAGATTGGACATAACTTTCTTAAGAAAAACTTGGATTGAGGATCTGTTTACATGGGAGGAGATAAAGTCAAGAGCATAGTTCAGTACTGTCAATCATCTTCCCCGATTTCAAGTCCTAAAAGGCACACAACTTTGGATAAAATTTAAAGTCACGAGCCAATTTGCATATGGCCGGTTCAGCCCGCCTTAAAAATTGGCCCAGCATCAAACCGGTGTGAACCATTTCCAGTTTGAACAGTCGGTTCAACCGGCCAATTTATTTGTAATTTTAAATATAAATTATTAAAAATTAATTTTATCTATTTTATAATTATAAATAATCTAACATGAGTGATTTATAGATGTAACATTGTAATGTGAATTTAATATGTAATTTATAGTTGTAAAATTTATCTAAATATATAATATAAATTAATAATAATTTATATTAAATTTAAGATAAATTAGTAATAATTTATATTACATTTATAAGTTTATATATAAACTAAATTTATTTTAGCCCCAAATTTATATCAATATATATTTATTTCATTTTATCATTTTTATATTATTAATTTTTTATTTAAATAATTATAATATTTATTACATCATACGGTTCAAACCCGGTCAAATTGTTGAACCTTAAACCTCTCACTTTTTCGGTTCGACCCCCAATCCAATTTTCACAATCTTGATCTCCACCATTATTGTTAGATGATCTAAAAATAAGGGCAGATGCATCCAACATTGATGCGGGTTGTTCCTTAAATCTCATCATCTTTTTCTTTCTACTTTCTTCACGCCTAAGCTTTGACAAAGCCTCCTTAAGATTGGTTAGTAGTCTAATGCCCATAATTTGACCTCAAACATTATCCAACTCCCTATTAAGTCCTAAGAAAAATTTGAACAACCTTTTTTGTTTCATAATCTGCTTGTATATTACTGCATCTTCTGGACATGACCA